CTCCGAATGTGAAGTTGACGCCAGAAAAGCAGGACACTCGCATACGGACACACAAATCGTTGAGGGAGCCGCACTCACACAAAGAGCCAAAAAATTAAAAACAAACAAAACACAGGAGAACGACAAATGGCAAGTGGGGAAAAAAGAAGGACCCCAACAAAAAAAGAAATCTGGGAGGGAGCTGCAAAAAAACGAAAGTGTTGCACAATGGGCGTTGCTTCAAGTCTCCTGCACAGTCGCACACACACACTCGCACTCACACTCAGAGGGGGCATTCACATTCACCAACTCTATTCTCTGATTTATGTCACTGACGAACACTGCGCAGTAGGTACACTGCCAGAAATACATCAAACCGAGTTTAAATTGTTACTTTTAATCAAAACCTCAAATCAAAATTAGAAAATATTTTTTTACCTAATCCAATATTCTAGGGTTATGCTATCGTTTTAGTGGTGTTTATTCTTTTTTAGAAAAGAAAAACTTTGAACAAACCAGAAGACAACGAAAAGTTACGATGACGACAGCGACGACGACAACGACCACATCGAGGGTTCAACTCGCTAGAGCAACAGAAAAGGCAAGGACGAAGAGGATGCGCAGGAAGGAGCAACGATGATGCCACTGACGAGCTGCTGGAGGAGAAGCCGGAGGCAGGCCACCTCGCAGGAGGAGCTTCCTCCTCCGCCATTCGCCTGCCACCGAGTGTCCTGTCTGGGTGCATCTGTGTGTGCACTTGGATTTCCTTTGTTTCCCGGCTGCCATTTCGTTCACTCGCTCGACAGCCAGTCAGCGGCGTCAGCGCCAAGTCTTCGCTGCTTGTGCTCCTGCTCCGCTGTTGTTGTTTGGCCTGCGTCGAAGGACATTTCGCAGGCGCTGTGTGCGAGAGGTCCTTCTAACAAAATTTAATACTTATTGTGCTTCGCCTGGCGCTCGCTTTGTTGCCTGCCTGCATAAAGAAAGGCAAACAGAATTTATGTTGTGACATTTTAAATTGCGCAATTTTTATGAAATCCTTTGCTGCGCCTCCCCAGCACATCCTTGCGATGTGTACGACAACAACACTTGACTGCAACAGAAATTCTCCACCAATTCGATGCGAATTTTTGTGTGCAGCACTCAAAAAACAGAAAGAAAAAATAGTACGGTCCGGGGAGGAGTCCTGTTCCAAGTACGAGGTCCTGCGCGAAGCCGCTGTCAGCCAGGCGTTTTATTTATTTTTATGTTTAGACTCGACCAGCGTCCGAGAAAACCGAAAATGACCGAGCCATCGCCCAACGAGACGACCAGAGAAAAGCAGAAAGCCCCACCATGATTTACGATGATGATGTGTCCTGGAACGCGCGCGCATCTCCACCGAAGGACTCTGCACTACACAACACAGCCCGGGAAGCTGCAAGATGTCCTGCCCCCGGAGTCCTCCGATTGCCAACCCTGGCTGTGGCAGCTTTACATATTTGGGCACAAGGAATTCCGACAGCAGAACCTCTGGAATGCATTTGTTTGTTTGGATTTCGAATACGACTCTGGAGTTCACCAACTTGAACTACGGGTTTTCCCCTATCTTCTCCGCTCGGAACGCAGTATTTCGAAAATTATTTAACTGAAACAAAGCTTTCTTTCGGTTTTTAACAAAGAAAATGGGCATCATAAGCTTTGAATATTTATGTAAATCAGTTTTTCTATTGACTTTGCCCTGATTTAAAGAAGAAGCGCCGAGTGAATGGAATTGGATCGTTCTTTAAAAGTATTAATCGAAAATTATTCTCAAATTCGGTTGTTTGACAGAAATTCATTTGATTTCTCAAATTAGGTTTTCATCTATAATTTGCATTAATTCCGAGTTATCAAGATCAAGTTCAAGATCTATTAAAAAGAAAAATATATTTTTAGTGAAGAATGTTCTGTTCTTTTATTCTAAAAATTATTTATTATTAATTCAGAATTCAAATCCTAATTGAGAGATTAAGATTTAGACATGCGTTTCCTTATTCTTTCCAAGGGCTGCTAAACTTGACATCAGGGAAAATTGACGAGAAGGGAACTACAAAACAATCAGTTAGTTAATTTATTAAATAGTTATTTAAATTCACTTACGTAATCCTTAGATATCTATGTCTACTTTGAAGCTTGCAGGCTCTCAATCTGGTAACCACAGCTCACTGATCCGAGGCCAATATGTACCCGCACAAAGCATCCCACTACAGTCTGCTCGAAAATGGGTTTGTCCAGAAAACTCTCCAGTTCGTTTCGGGCCAGCACCGCCTGGCTCAACTGCTCCCTGGTGGTCACCCGATGTCAATCGATTCTTGGCCAACTGACATCGATCAAAGATACTCTGATGCCGCTCGAATTCGCAGAGGTTCTTCAGACGTGTCCGGTCCTCGGCAACGCCCATAATGTTTCCATTAAACTGCTCAACTTTTGACTTCTTCGCAGGGACCTCACAGATTTCATTATCTTCCAAATCTTTCACGTTTTCCACTACCCAATTCCTGATTCTTTTTGAGCTAGTGGCCATTTCCGAAAACTTCGAGAATACGTCAAAAATGGCAAAAACTGAAGAGAGATATCAAAGTGAGACCAGACCATCTCAAGAAGGAATATCTTACATGCTTTCGAATATACCAAATTATTGTAATTAGTTACAACCTGAAACTAAGTCCAGTAGCAATGTTCGTCCTCTCCGTATTCCACTTAGGGCGCCGTTGAAGTGTAGTGAGGTACTCCTGATGCCATCTCTTCCAAAAGCCTTGTGGCATTGCTTGTACATTCTGCCAGTAATCCAGTCGGTTAACTGCTATGTGGCCAAGATCGCCCTCGGGAACTGATGTATAAGGGCGTCCAATCAGCAGGTGTGCGGGTGACAAGTAGGAAACCTCAATGTCTGAAGTAGCGAAGAGTGGGCGTGAATTGACGACAGACTCAATTTGAGCCAGAAAATGTGAGGATGTCAAATGTGAGGAATCTCCTGACCACATCCCCTTGGTGATTGTACTAAGAACAGCTGCTCACAAGCTTTCCCGTAAAATACACATCCTTCCTCAAAACGCAAGCGTTTCGCGGTTCCAGGCAGCTGTTAATCAGCTTGTTAACCTCAACATGATCCTAAACGCCCCTGAAGATATTGACGACGCGACTGAGCTTTTTGTCCAAAATATCGACATCGCTGCTGAATCCTCAACCTGTAGGCAAGGTCATGCCCTTTTAAAACTTGAGGTTCTGGAACTGGTGAGGTTGAAGAGCCTTGCGTCGCAGATTCATGCGGTCGACAGATCCAGCTGCTACGTAATGCTGATCCTACAAAAGCATATGGATTTAGCAATCTGGAAAGCAGCTAGAGTTATAAAAAGGCAGCCCCCTCGCAGAATACCTATTAAGCGTACTGATAAAACTTTGTGCAGATCGTACTCCAAAATTTCTCTTGCTTTTACTGACGAACTGGAAAATCGCTTTCAGCCATTTAACTTTGCGAAGCGTGATGACGTTGAAAACACACTGAAATTTCTTAATGCTGCCTCCCCAGAAGCAGAGCCTATTCGTCATATAAGTCCGCAAGAAGTCTGTCACTAAATAAAGCTATAGGATTTGGATTTGAAGGTATTGACAGCAGGGTTCCCAAGGCACTTCCCAAAAAGGGTTTACTGTTATTAGTCCTCCTGTTCAACTCCATGTTACATATCCAGCACTTCCCCACACAATGGAAATGCGCTGTGATATCAATGATACCGAAGCCAGGTAAGCCGGAGAACCTTGTTGCGTCGTACCGACCAATAAGCTTGCTGCCCAAATTCCCTAAAATATTCGAGAGAATATTTCTTAGCAGAATGATGGCAGTAAGAAGGGTTCAGGATGCAATTCGAGACCACCAGTTCGCCTTCAGGAATCACCATAGAACCCCGGAGCAAGTGCACCGAGTTACTCATCATATTTTGGATGCCTTCGAGAATAGGCAGTACAGCTCGGCTATCTTCTTGGACGTAAAGGAAGCTTTCGATAGAGTGTGGCACGATGGCTTGCTATTTAAGCTGAAGACTCTCTTGCCAACTGCGCATATCTGCTGGATAGAAGCTTTATGGTTGAAGTGAGAGGCGAAAGATCATCTATCCGATGCATTCGAGCTGGCGTACCACAAGGTTGTGTTTTGGGTCCTGTGCTGTACACCCTTTACACCTCTGACTTGCCAAATCCCAGAGACCCGGGTACCCTCATCTGAGCCTCAGAAACAAAATTCTGATCTACAAAACAATAGTAGTGCCTTCCATGACATATTGCATGCAAATATGGGGTACGGTGTCCGACTCAAACATCATGCGAGTATAAAGGCTGCAAAACCGAGCACTGCGAACCATTGTAAATGCGGATATAACAAAAGACCTTCACATCGTCACCGTGAGGGAACAAATCAATCGTCACTCAAGTCGCTATAATGCACGGATTCGAGCCCACTCGAACAACCTAGCTTCTTCATTGGCAACCCCGATGATCAGAAGAAGGTTAAAGAGAAGGCATCAAGCAGATCTATAGGAGGATAGGAGGGCGGCAAAGATCGAGAGTCCTTCCACCAAAAACTTCTGTTAATTTTATAGTCGAAAACATATTGATATTTATCGCTGCTGTTACGTTTTTCACTGTTATGATTGTTACTTTTTCTAGTCCCTACGTTTTATAGCCATTTAATTGGCTGATTAACATATAAATAAAATATCTGTTATTTAAAAAAAAAAAAGAACTTACATAAATGTAGACATTTAGCCGTGCAAATACTTTTAAGCGTCTTACCTGAGGTAGTGTCCTGTAGCACAGTCGGATTATGAATAAGCCTCCGTTGAATATATGTCGTCCGGGTTTATTTGTTTTTTTCGGGTCATAACGTTTATTTCAAGGCACACTCTTTGAGAAAAATTTGTACTTAAATTAAGTTCCAAGTTCAAGATCTATTAAAAAGAAAAATATATTTTTTGTGAAGAATGTTCTGTTCTTTTATTCTAAAAATTATTTATTATTAATTCAGAATTAAATGCCTAATTGAGAGATTAAGATTTAGAGATGCGTTTCCTTATCCTTTCCAAGGGCTGCTAAACTTGACATTAGGGAAAATTGACGAGAAGGGAACTACAACACTATCAGTTAGTTAATTTATTAAATAGTTATTTAAATTCACTTACGTAGTCCTGAGATATCTATGTCAACTTTGAAGTTGTGCAGGGAATACAGATCTAATTCCGGAACATCTTGCATCTCGGCTCTCTCGTTGGGTGATTTTGGGGGCTCTGGTTTCTGAGCAAGCTCCTGCAAATCCGCAGTTTCGCCTGCCACTTGACAGCGACTTACGACCGCACTTTTCTTATATTTGCGCCGCATACACTGCTCTGGGTCGAGTTCCTCCGATTTCGAGGTCCGTTCCGGCAGGGATTGCTTGGAGCAGGAAGGTGCCATTAAATCTAATCGGTGAACGGTGGGCACATGGGCATCGCGAGGTGAACTGGGGACTTGGACGCGGTGCCTCAGACTACCCATCCTCTCAGTTTGCACCAGCCTTTCCACATCCGCCTCGGGGAACGAATACTCGGCGGCCCTTTCGATGTCCATCTGCTTCTTGGCGATATGCAGAAGGGTTGGCTTCTCCTGCGGGATCACTGTGCTCCACCGAAAGAACTCCTCGTCGGTAACCGGATGGTTGGACACCACGTCCATGCGGGAATAGCGTTTTTCGGTCCCATATTTATAGCCCAAGATGAGATTGCTCCTTTTGCTGCCTAGTTGGTAGCTGTATCTGCCCTGATGCAGGCTCTCGATCTGGTACACAAAGTTCACCGATCCCAGGCAAATATTTACCCGCACAAAGCATCCCACTACAGTCTGCTCGAAATTGGGTTTGTCCAGAAAAGTCTCCAGTTGGTTTCGGGTCAGCACCGCCTGGCTCAACTGCTCCCTGGTGGTCACCCGAGGCAGTTCCTCAGGTTCTGCCTGCGGGTTTACCCGGGGTATGATCTCTCTGCCACTGCCACTGCTGGGCACGGAATCATCGGAGTACTGGTCCGTGGTTCTCAGCTTATTTTCTTTTGGCTGCGGTACAGGGCAGTTCATTCCGTTATCCATCTGTCCCACACAGTCCTCGAAATCATTGACCCTCTGGTTTCCAGACCGCTGGTGATCCAAGTTCTGCCGCCTGATCTGCGAATCCTCTTTCGTTCCCGAGTCCTCCTCCTGCTGAGATGTCAATCGATTCTGGGCCAGCTGGCATCGTATGTTAGACTTGCGCTCCAGGTCCTCCCGCCTTAGACATCGATCGAGTTCGCAGAGGTTCTTCAGACGTATCCGGTCCTTGGCATTCCCCATAATGTTCCCATTAAACTGCTCGACTTCTGGCTCCTTTGCAGGGACCTCACAGGATTCATCTTCCAAGTCCTCCACGTTTGCCACAACCCATTTCCTGAATCTTTTTGAGCTAGTGGACATTTCCAAAAACTTCAATAATACTTCAAAAACTAAAAAAAAATTACAAAAATTAAATAAAATTAAAGATGTTACATAAATTTAGACATTTTGCCGTGAAAATACTTTTACCTGGGGTAGTGTCCTGTAGCACAGTCGGATTAAGAATAAGCCTCCGTTGAATATATGACGTCCACGTTTATTTTAGTTTTTTTTCGGAGCATTACGTTTATTTCAAGGCACACTCTTTGAGAAAAATTTGTACTTAAATGAAGTTTGCTTGCTCCCGGAAATTTGTTAACTCCAATTAAACCACAACATCATACGCTTTTAACGTTTGCATAACTGCAATATAATTATTAATTATAATTATTAATTATTAAATTTATTAATTCTGAACTCGAGCATCTGTTTTTAATCACTATTTTAAATACGAAAAAAATGTCTCATCATAAAAGGAAGCTCGCAGTTAAAATTTTATTATGAATGTTTCAGTTTTTATGTTTGATGGGTATAAATATTATGTATTTATTATTATTTAATAATGAATTTTACAGATTATGTTAGGTAAGAATGAAAATGCATCACTAAAACTATTAAACTAAAACAATTTTATATAAATATATATGTAGTGGTTCAAAAAAATTGTTTATTTAAATTGAATCACTTCATCAGCGTTTAACATAGTTGCAAATTTGTTAAATATTTTTCAGATTATTCTGCATTGCAATTGATTAAATTTTCTATCGACAACAATTCATATAAGTGAGGAAAGTGGTGGGACTCTCATAATTGTGATTACTTTTGCTATGACATTTTTTGGCAATTGCAGCTTTGCTCCTGTTGTGGTTTCCCTTGTTTTTGCACTTCCTTGTTAATAAAAATTTACGATTATTGTTTTCACATTTTTCATGTTTGTCAATATTAAAAACATTATTTTTCACACGAATTGGCGTCAATGGATGGATACGCACACATCGCGATCAACGTTCGACAGACGAAGGATGTGTCTCCGAAATTTTATTGAAATTCGCTGATGGAATCCAGCCCAAAAAAGGCGCAAAAGCGCGAGAAAAACACTCGAATTGCAATGGGAAATCGCATTCAATCGGTCGCCAGCAGCATACACCACTCATAACTCAGTTCGGTGCGGCGCCAGGACATTGCCGAGCCAGGGACACGGACATGGACACAAATCCATTGGACGATGGGCATCGACGTTGGCATTCCCATTGTTGTAGCGCTGGAGGATTCGGGACAATTGTCAGGCAATAAATCGATGTGTGTAGGGCTGTAAATTTTTGGCGGATGGCCGATGAAAAAGTGCATATTATGCAATTCGACAATACGCCAAACATGTCGACCTACGCACAGCCACCCGAACACCACCCCGCCAACCGCCCCCCGCCCCCGACCCATGGCAATGCAGCGGAAACGGAAACGCGCACACAAGTTCTTCTCTTCTCTCTTCTTCATCTTCGGCCTGCAACAGCGCTTTGCATATCAATGAAAATGCATAAATTTTTATTCGCCCTCAATTTCGCTGGCGTTTTTTCTTCTGCGCGGTGCACTCGTTGCATCCTTGCCCATTGCCCAATCCTGTCGTCCATCAAGGGGCATAAATCAGTTTGGAGGTAGCGTCCGAGAGCGGCGAAAAAAAGATTTCCAAACACGCGTAGCACCGGAAGCTACTGAAAAAATTGGAGCCCCATCCCAGGCAGATCACTTCTTTGGGGAAGCCCCAGTGACGAAACGTAATCCTTGTCGAAAAGCTGCACCAGAGCAAAAACACTGAAAATCCATAAAAATGCATCATAATTTCCCGGACACTCGTGCAACTGGAACTGGATCACCATCGGCAGCAACATCATTGTGTGTAACATCCAAATGGCCAGCAGAGCAATAGTGAACGGCGGAAAAAGGGGTAGAGTCAGTCGAACTAGACCCCCAGCGAGTTGTGAAAAATATTCAGTAGGGCTACTCCACAAGCAGCTTAGAAATTTTCGCATAATTGTAAATGAATTTTCATGTCCTTATTATTAGTCAGTTTTGCCAGTTTTTCACAAATTGGTTTATCTCAAAAGCGTTTAAAAAGTTTTCTATTTTAAATATAGTTAAAATTGAATTTTATTGAGTTTATTTTCTGAAAAGTCTCTAAATTAGGGCATTTTAAATTACTTTTAAAGTCATTAAAAAATATGTTTTTAGGAAAATCTTCTGAAATTAAATTTTTGTTCGAATTTATTAAGGTTTTAATAAACATATAAAGAAATATTACTTTTTAGAGATAAAAACCCATTTGAAGGTTCTCTTTTTGGGCACCATATTTTTTAGTGTTTCTTATTCTCAAATGGATAATGATAATATAATAATTTTAAGGAATTCAAGCTATAATTTTTAAATATAAATTCTAGTTTATAGATCTAATTGGTTTCTTGAATAAAAATCTTGAGCGACCCTGCCGGGCATCATTTTCATGCAAGTCTCCCAACCTTCGCTGCTTTTTAAGCCCAGTCGCAGGCTGCACTGAATCCGAAAAGGGCGCATCAAAATCAACGCGTGACCAATCGGGAAAAGGGAAGGGGAATCGGAATCGGATGAAGGGAGTGCAAGCTGCAAGGGGAACTACCCGTTCCACAATGCGTTAATAGATTTGCAGTGCCTCCGAACCTGTACAGCTCCCCGTTCCCAAACCATCCAGCCGATTGCATATTATCACAGGATACTCGGTCATTTCGGCGGTGGCCCTTCGTTGTTCTTTTACTTGGACAAAAAGCGGCCGTAAATTTTACTTCATTCATGCAGACACTCCACCTAACTCCCACAAAGGAAACATGGAACGGACAGCCAGCCTGTGCACAATTTTGAGTGCACTCGATGCGATACGTTGGCGGCCTGTCCACATGTCATCCTTGCATTTATTTATTGAATTACGACTCTGAGCCGCCAAAAAGGTAAAAACCGAGAAGAAAGGCGAGGATTGTAAATAAAAAACGGCGAAAAATGATTGAGAACTCTTTGAGGTTGGGTCCTTTCCATTGAGAAATGATATATAAAAGGTCAAATTTCCTTAACTGGAATTCTTTATAAACAGACCTATATTCAAATTAGTTATATTGACAATAGACAATATAAATTTATTATTATTTTTTTTAATTAAAATTTTTTTTTGAGGCAGATACCCAGTTGGAAAGGCGACTATTTAACCTTACAGAAGACTTTAATGTAAAAAGTAATGATAAATAGCGGAACAATGGACACATACCGAATTTAGGACACGCTTTTGTTTTTACATATTTTTATTACCATATAAAATTTAAAAAATAACAATTGGTTGTGCATAAAAGCCCTTCTATAAGTTTCGAATCCCCTTCTCTAAAAATCAAGACGTAAGCTTCCCCTCTGCGGATCTCAATTCGGTCCACGTGTTGTTTGTCTTTTGCGTCTTGCAAAGTCAACACGGCGAGCAGATGAAAGAACAGCAGCTGAATTCTTGAGATTTTACACAACTGGCAAATATTTAAGCCTGGCAAACAGCGGCGCCGTCTTTTTAATTGTTTCTAATTTCTACTGTTGACATGGCGGTGTCGGAGGTGGTCCTCACCCAAGACATCTGTCCTAGGAAGTCGTTTCTAGGCCGCCGACATCCCCTTCTCTGCGCTATCACTTGTTGACACACACCCACCTATGGAGATGCGTTCCAGTTAACCGAAATCTTTTCATATTGTTGACTTTGGGTGCCACACATTTTTGAGCGGAGATCAACATTTTAATTAACGAGGAGTATGAGAGTGGACTCAGGGATCTTTAAAGACGCCGCCAGTTAAAAATGTACAGTTAACTGGCTTGGCTGCGAAGTTTGTTTTAAGAATTTGGTTTAGTTTGTATTAGGATTTCTTTATAATTAACTGATGATGTATAATAATGTGGGGCGTTGTTCTACTGTTTGAGATATACTTTGAGCTGTAAGGAGGTATTCTCTTTGATCTTACGCATGGCTTTCGTTTAAATGATTAATATTTAAGAATGGTCTGATTGATATAAATTAATAATGTATTAAAGATTTCATATTGCTCCACAATAGTATTTTTAAGGAAACTTTAAAAATGTGTTATCACATATTTAATATTAAAGGCTTTTACGATTTTAAAGGTTGTTTGCCATTTAAACAACCGTCACTAAAAACGGTACTTAATGGTTCAACTAGCATCACGTTTGGGTATTAACTTTAACGTTTAATCATTTAAAGCTGGCAAGCAAACTGACGAATATGTTCCAAAATATAATTTATTTTTGTGAGCTTCGAACGGCTCTGCGCTAATTCACACAGTTGGTCACAACTGGGTGGCTAGATAAGATCCCCAAATCGATTTATGGCTGAGCTCCGTTGGCCGTTGCCAGAATCATCAGTGTCAGTTCGGTGGTCAGATCGGAAGCTTCAAAAAATAAAAAATTAAACAATGGATCAGTCCCGCATTCTGAGGACTACAAATGTTGTGCTTTTACTCACTGCCTATCAGATGCATTGGTTTGAGAAGAAGTCGCAGAGGTTCCGATTCTCCCTACCCGGAGTGGTCTACATCTTTGTGCTCGGCTGCATTTACGCTGCGTGCTTTTCCCGACATTTTGATCCGTCCTCATCTCTACTGAACGTTCTGAACGATGTTTCACCATTTCTTTTTGGATTGACCAGGATGCAACTGTTGCTGGGAGCAAAAGCATTCGCCTATGCCGTCTACTCCTCTGCGAAGTCTGTGCGTGCAGTCAACTCCTTGGTGGAATCACTTGCCTCCAGAGACCGCGGATTTGGGAAAAATGAGGCAATAGCCTACCTTTTACTAGGCTCAACTTTTTGCATTCTCTTCGGTTTTGTGCTCTACATTTCATATGAAATGAAGTTCGAGCTGCCTCCGTTGCAAGATGCGATGGTCGGAATGGCCCTATTTCTTCCTCATCTAATTTTAGCTGGATCTGTGAGATTATACGTAGTGTTGGCTTTTTTAAGTCGCGGACAGTTGAAGCAGCTTAAGGAAGATGTGGAGCAGGAGTTAAGAGCTAATTTAAACGAAGGCGAACCGAATATCGCCTCCACTTCTTTCACTATTTCCACAAAAAACTCAAGTTTGGAAAATTTGGAGAGTCTAAAAAGAAAGTTGGAGATTCTGGGAGCCAGTTTTCGTAACTTTTTCCAGTCATTGCAGCACTCTTTGATATTCTATTTTGCCCTGAATGGAAACTGCCTTCTCGGAGGGATATATTCCTTAACCTACTACTGGAATACCTGGCACGTTATCTTCGAGCATCGCAAGCGACGAATCTTCTACGCGGCAAATGCATCCATATATGCCTGTATTGCCAGTGATTACATCTGCCTAATGTTTGTTCTGTTTATGATGGAGAAAGAGGTAAAATACAAAATTACAATTCTTTATTATTTTAAAATAAAAGCTTTATCTTGCCTATTTTCCAGCGTATGGGTTTCATTAAGTGTCTAAATAACTTCCTGGCCCAGCGTACTTCTCTGTCGAAGAAAATAAGACCACTTGCCAAAGACATAAAGGGGATTATTAAAAGAACTTTTGATCTCAAATTTTACTCGCTCATTCGTTTTGATCTTAGTTACGTCAGCATGGTAAGTTTTTACCATATATCTAAAATAAATCTTTTCAAAGTGTATATTACAGATAACATTCGTTCAATTACTGATCATTTCTTTGATTGTGATTTGCCATTACCTGAATGATGCAATTCTTTTGGTGAGAGAAGAGTTAAGCAGCAAAGACGATGAGTAACTTAAGACAATATTCACATAATTTGGTTTATACATTTTAATTGTCTTAAAATCAATGATGTGGTCTATATATTAGCTTTACTCGGTCTGACTTTCCGCTCCGGTAAGAACTTCATATTAATTACCAACGTATGCAAACTTAATCCATAAATTTATCCGTTTGCCAGAGCCAAACAGGACGGAGCAACAAATCACGATTATGTTGCTAATAAAATGGTTCCCCAATCAAAGTAAAATGTGTGCGTTTTCTCTAGAGATGAACCAACTAGTGGAAAATCTCGTTTGCTAAATAAGTTGTGGTGAAATTGAAGCAATTGCTTATAAACATTTTGTATTGTTTTAACAAATTTCAATACCTCTTACTTGATGCATTTTAAGTTTTAATCACTCTAGCGTTTTTTCCTAATAATAATTCAGTTGTTTAAAGAATAATAAATTCTTAGTAGTAGTTTTGAGTTTCTTATACTCATCTCCAATATTTCCTAAAATACTCTGTCAGACTACGAGACCATTTTGCCTACGGGTTTTTTCATAAACTTTTCGCCCATGCAAAATTTTCCACTGTGGGATAACAACACACAGAATGGCGGCAAATGAACATAATTCGTGTTAGGAAATCTACATAATATTTACTGAGATGCCAGCACCCACCCATCCAGCCCATCCAACCCACTCACATCCTCAAATCCTCACCTCCTGGGCGGTGCACAGGCCATGGCCATGCGTGCAAGTCTGTGGAGATGCTGATGAGCAGATAAATTCATTAGGCAAACCCATGTAATTGTTCCACCAGGGCGACGACGACGCCGGGTCAAAAAGAGACCGGGGCGGGGCGTAAGGATGTGGCGGACACTTGGCTCAGCTGGCAGAGCAAGCGGCAAAGGCAGGCCAGACGACCGCAGATCTTAAGTTTTCCCCCGGAGGATGGAGTTGGGAGTCACGTAGTCGGAGTTGCCTGGCGAAGCCTTACTAAATACAAATTAAACAAATCCATAAATAATGTTTAATAATATTAACAAGGATATTAGCAGAGACTACAAGCATACACTCACCCACTTGGGGAGCTGCAGATGCGCTCTTATTGCATCCAGTCGTAGTTGTTGCTGCTGTGGGAGCCCTGACTCCAAGTGCATTCCACTGGGCGTGGTCGTCGTGGTTTATGGACATGTCGCCTCTGCCACCTGGCTGTTTGCCCTCGCAGGTACATGGGTGTTTACACGGCCAGGATTTATCAATCCCATTTAGCTTCTGGGCTGCTAGACTTTCCGGCTTCGATTAGACCAAAGTATGACACCAAAAGGGTTAGATTATTTACACAACATGACTAATTACCATATAATACTTCATTTGTAACCCACTCCGAAATCTATTTTAAATTCTGGGTAATCCGAAATGGTATATATACCAGAAATCTGTTTTTATTAGATAACGTAGGAAAAATATCTATTCTTAAAGTTAATAGTATAAATGAGGACTTCAAACATAAATCGTTAATTTGTTGATCTCTTCAGAGCTTTCAATCGCTGCTGCTTTTTTTTTGCGATCTGCTCCTCGACGCGTAAAAGTTGCAAAAGTAAATATTTCTGTCGAGACTGTTTCTTTTTGGCACTGTAAGAATTGTCCTCAGCGCTATGTCCTTTTTTTGGTGCAAGGGGAATAAGTTTTGGAGGATTTCTTGCAGGAGTTTTTGTAGAAGATTCTGAAGAAGTTTGTGGTGATCGTCGTTTTGAGATATGTTTTTTTGGATACTTCGACGAAGATGCTTGTGTGTGCGAAGAGTATCTTTTTAATTTTTTTGCTCTCGATGACGTTTTGTTTTTTTTCCCCGTTCGCCTAGAGCTCGTGCCTCTGGTATCGGAATCTGAGGAAGATGATGCATCGTCGGAGCTTTCGGTAGTGGATTCATAGCTGGATGACTCGGAGGAGTCACTGCTATCAGGACGTTGTCGCTTCGGTTCAGGACGAGTGCTGACACTGGAACGCGTATGCGGGCTGCGAGATGGAGTGCGGGGTCCACGAATAGAGAACCTAGGAGGACTCGGCGAGCGCTGGCGTTTGAGGGAGTGCAAATGTGACGATGAAGCCGTCGTTGTTGTGCGGATAGTTGATCGGTTATGTCTAGCACATCGGGGTGGTGATCCCTCAGGAGAGCTGCTACTCGATGGCGACTCTTGCAAGGTGGACGTTGAACTGCTGCTCAGTCGACTTTCCCACGCTATCGGTCTTGGCTTCGAGGGCATCGCAGTGTTGCGAACTGACCGTTTCAGCGCTACCGATTGCTGATAGTTCTTCTGCATCATCAAAAGCTCAATGAATGTCGGCGTGGGCAGCAGAGGAAGTCGCTCCTGCACCTCCGGCTGATCCTTTGAGTAGTAGGGATCGGTGTCCATGTCGTTTAAGCCCAATGCTGATGCAGCCGGGCTCCGAGGCCGTCTTACCATTTTCTCGGCCTGATTTAGTTGATGGGTGTCCGCACAGGGTGTCATAAAAGCAGGCCATCCTATGTATTTGGTTTGAAAACAATTAATATTTGGATCAGTTTTTTATTTATTATATTGCTCTAATTTTTATAGGAATAAAGATGGTCATTTTGACCAAAAACTGTTTAGAAAGACTTACCTCGTGGAATCAACGCGGGAGCTACTGGCAGAAACTTCTTTTCAAACATCACATAGTTGCCCTTATTGTTCGGCTCCGGATGGCGGAATCGACAGTTGTTACCCCAAGAGCAGGCGTTGCGAATGTGAAAACGACAGATTGGCATACCGTTGACCTCTTTTTTTGATACATCTGTTGGGACATTGTCATCTTCGCCAGATACTTCGCCGTCTTCCAGATCCGCCGACTCATCATGCTCCGCTCCCGAAGTGTTATCTTCGGATAACTCTCCAGACTCTAATAGCTTGCACATTTCGTTGTTGGACAATGTGTCTTTGTCTTTGGGTTTCATCTTCTGATGGCTTATTGAGATTTGGCTGCCCTCAATTTTTTGAAAATCATTATCTTCACCAGTTACTTCGCCATCTTCCAAATCGATGGCTCTCTGTCCAATTGGAATCTGTTCTTGCGGACTTTCCAAAAAGGTCGTTTTCTTAAGTTCATTTATATTTTTCTTGGGTCTTTCGATATCTAACTGTTGAAAGATTAAATTGTCGCTGGCCTCTTTTAAAACTTTCAAATCAGTATCCTTGTCAGCAGATTGATCCAGATTATTTTTAACTTCCAAATCAGTCTCTTTAGATAGCTGACCAGACTCATTGAATTTACCTATCTTGTTTTTCAGCAATGTGTCAATATTTGGTTCTTTTTCAACGGTTTTCTCAAATTCTTCAAATTTATTTCTGAGATGTTCAACACCATTTTGATGAGGGACTGGCAAACCATTGTCCGCTAGTTTTAGCGAATTGCGTGGGACGGTATCAATATTTTCCAAATCGTTGTCCGAATTAGTTTTGCTACACTTTCTCTTAGCATTGCTTTTCTTAAATTCTTTATGGTTCTGTATAGGATTATCCATATTTTTTTGATAATACATTTCTTTATGAGAATCAGTTGTTTTTAGGGTACCCCGATTACTTATTTCAGTCTCATCTACTGCAAACATGGAATCTATTTCCTCTGGGTTAATCATTGTGGAACAAAATATATCATTAAGATCAGCTTCTTGATCTAGAGTGGCATCATGATTTTCTAATTGGAAAGAGCCGAATCGTTTGACAGATTCTTCATTGCGAAGCGACTTAGCATTAACCGTTGTAATCGTCCTGTTTTTTGTTAAGACTTCAGTAGTATCCTTTTGTTTATCAAAAGAGAGAGCACAATCCGTCCCTTCCAAACTTTCTTTTGTCACAGAATAAATGGTTTGATCTTCTAAAGATTTAATGTTAGAAAAGTTCTTGTTTCAAGAAATCAACGCTTACCGAAGTCCGTCAAGCCATGCAGAGTATAATCGAACGGTTTGTATAAAAAACTGTTGTTTGCTTCTTCTTTAGATGATGTACATTCTTCAGTTGAAATATTTGTTGATGAAACATTTATAGCATCTTTTAGGTCGTCTTTCATGGAATATGTTGTGGTACCATATATTATTAATTTGTTTACTTAAGCTAATTATATCTCACCCAATTCTGTCTGTCCAAGGTCAAGACACGTGCTCTCCGATTCTGTGATGGGTGGCAGCATCTTATCGTTTTCATTTGGCTCTGACATCGTTACCTCAAATATATTTCTAAGGCGTGCAAACACAATAATACAAATTTAAACACCTAGAATACTCTGGTTTTGCGTTTCAATTACGTACCTTCCAATTCTTATTTTGGTATTCCTTATATTGAGTACGTCTTCACTTATCTGGTATATCAACCGATCGCACACAAAATTTAATAATAAACTGGCAAATCTTATTTTATTGACATAAAAGACAAAAGTCACATTTTTTGTTGGCATCGAAGCTCGATAGCACCTTCAGAGAGTTGCCACTATTAAAACCGACTCACACTTAAACAAGTTTCCTATCGTTATCGGAGTTTTACTAAATTCGACGTTCAAATCTGTAATTTTGGCAGTGCACGAAAAGTGGCAACACATATCGATATCGGAGTTAATTACCAAACTCGTATATGGTCTAAAAAAAAGCAACTGTTCTTTGTTTTAATTTGAAATAAGGTCATAATAAGTTAAATAACAATTTTACAAACAGATCTTGATTGCAAATGACAAAATAAACAAGAAAGGAAGAAAATTTCTGCAAGCCGAAAGCGTAAAAGCGTAATTCTGATATAGTAAATAATTAATATATCTCGAAATAATATTTTGATAAACATAAAAATAAATTTGTTTTAAATTTTTATTTAAAAAAATTCTTTTTTATTTTTTCATGGGAGCTATATGATATTTCTGCCCCGGATTGTTAGCCCTATCGCATCACTTCATCCTGTCAGAACAACAGCATCAACTTCTTTGTTGATTCGATTAAAAACGACTATCCTAAAATAATATAAAAGGAATATACAAAAACATATTTAGTCCGAAGCGACAATGGACGTTGTCAATCAATCGCGATCTGTTCAAAAATGCATATCCCCTATGCTAAAAATCAAAAATCTCTTACAATGAAATAATAATATGTACATTGTACATTTGTGTTGAATCGCACGTTGGCCGGGATACAAATTAGACACAGACAATCACCTCAGCCCCTGGCCAAACGCTTGGAGCAACAGCATCAATTTCCACAAAATTGCGCCACTAAATTACCATAACGGTGAGGGGACCGGCACCACCCCGCGCAAGGAAAAACCCAGCCCACTCGAAAACCCCCAAAACTAACGTAACCATATTGGGGCAACTCGAGAAACCAAAGAAAAAGGCGACAAGTGAGAGACGAGACGCAGAAGAGACACAGAGTTTGAGTTCGAGAGACAAATGCCGAAGCCGCAAACAAAGAAAACAGCGCGAAAAACGCAAGCATCAGCGCAATGCGGCAATGGAGTTACCTGGTGGCAGGTAAATGGGGGGGTGGCTGGGAGGTGGTTGTCCCACAGGACTTGTAAATAGCAACATGGCAAACAAGTTAAAAAGTTTTCCTCTTGTTCTTTGGTATTTCTTTATGCCCGGGTCGCGGCCCAAACATAATCGTTTCTCATTTCAATGCTGTTCCCAGATGACTCTAAAGTCCGCCCCAAAATACACTAAGAACATTTAAAAATCTCAGACAACTAACTTTTAAAGCAGTGAAGAGGAAACGAATCTGGAGATCTAAGGTTCATTAAACATAATTTTTTAAAAAATTTACCAATACCTCTTTTTTGAAAATTAAGATCTTGATTACGAAATATATTTCTTATCCATATTCAAAATATAACAAACAGTCAAACTGCGTTTTTTGTTCTAAATATTTAAATTTGTATTAAAATTTGTTCTGATCTGGTAAAAAAAAAATTTTTTTTTTATTTTATGTATATCTAATAAAAATTTGATTTAGAGTATTATCGCCTTTACTTGAAAGCTAACCATAGCTTCTTTGAAATTAATTTGTGATCAAGAATTTAGATCCCTATAAGGTTTTTTAGTTTGAGAGTACCTATTTCCCCGAGTGCATTGCCTTCTGGTGTCCGTCGCTCACCTTTTCGGCGGCCCCCGGTCCGCAATTTAGTTTTGAGCGTAATTTCTTTTAATAGCGCCAGCCGAAGATAAAATTCCGCTGAAGTAGAACCCCAAGCCCGAACCTCGCGAAGATGTCCCTTCCTGACACTGACATTGTTGTCTTCTCGCGCCCAGTGGCACTCCCTCCCGCTCTCCCCGCTCCCTCAACTACATCGCGGGTCAAAGGGGCGGCCTGTTTGCTGGCGGATATCGCAAGTAAATTGCTTAATTTTGGCCATGTCCCGAGGTCGGGGGTTAGGCGTCTCTTCGGTTTGTTTTATTGGTGGCAAGGTAAGGGCTTTTTGGTGGGGGAAAGGGCGCTTCAGAGAGCCTCCCCTAAGGCCGCTCAGGTTGACGTTTTCTGGGCCATGACGATTTCATTTGCATTTTATGATAATTGAACTTCATAAATATGTCACGGCAGCATCTTAAAAGTGCCAGAGGTAAGTACACACACTCCGAAACAAAACATCCGGTTCCTTTTCCGGTGGAGGTCTCTTCCCATTCTGGGTGCCATGTGCTTCATAATTATTTTGAAGTGTCGCCATTAATTTGAAATACTTATGGTCGTGTGGGGCTGGACCATAAACTGCTGAACAAAAGTGGATAACGACGGTTGCAATTTAAATATGTTAAATACATTTTATACACAGGGTACGACAGGGTCGTTAAGAGGTTATACTTAGTGTTGGTGGTGGTTATGTGGTGCAGGAGGACCTTCACTATGAGGGACCTAACACTATGTTGAAGTGCTGGGGATAGTAAAAGGTTGGTATTTCTTGTTTTTTTTCAAAAATATTCGTTTCTGCTTTTAGGATCATTTGTAGCGAAACCATCAATAATATATCTATCCAAAAGTTTGGAGTGTTTTAAGTATGCTGACAAAAGTCTAGGTTTCACCTACGTAAACATCCTCTAAATTTCCTTTAGGGAGTCCTTCAACCAACCTCCTTGCTGAGATTCGTCGACAATAACTCACCTAGTCAGCAAGTTAACTTGTTCACCCTTCCGGAGCTGAAAGAAAAAATGAACATTTAACGCCTCATTAGAATCAGGACATCGAGCCATCGTCGACGCATCCATCTCAGGGTTGGGACCACGCAACTACACAACAGGACGGAGGCAATGAATAAACTCCGGCATAAACAGGATATATGGCCGCAAAATCCCAGCAGCGCCTTGCAGCAGCGGCAATGAATATTAATGAGATGTCATCAGTCTTTCGTCAAATTAAAACGCACAGCGCCAACGGGGCAGAACGGTGAGCCAGGATTACTCGGAGACGGAGATGGAGAGTCTGACAGGAGCAGACACATCTTCTTGGGTGTTGTGCGCGCACATCCTGCGGTAACTTTTCTAATTGTTGCCAGCACAACGCGAATAAATCAGCAGCCGGCACGAAGGGCAACTACAACTAGCTGAGGGCCTTGAGGAATTTCGGCAATTTGTTTTCCACTAGTTGAGTCGAGTATTTCGGAAACGGGGTGGCAGGATGGGTGGGGCGCCACTTAACCCTTTTGGGCAATGCGTCGTCGGCAGTCACCGTCACCGTCATCGTCACACGTCAGCGCACTATCATCAGCTTGTTTACACGCATAATTATGTGTGCCGGATTCCGGGAAATGCTTCAGTCTCGCCTACAGCAGGCTCATCCCCCACCCACTCCCCCCTCCCCTGCCACCCCTCGTCCTGTTATCCTTGCGGCTTTTGGGGGCCGACGATTTAATGCCTCGTGACAGATTTCTCACTTGAACTTAAGATGACGGGCAGCGTCACAACTTGATGCTGATAATATGCTAATGAGGTTTGTTTATTTGATTTATATTCCCCTTGTCATGGCTGCGAAGAGAAGGTGTCGAAGCCGCTGGGCCAACAGTAAGGTCAGGTCCTCGAGGTTCACTCAAATCAGAGTCAAGTGGAAGTTAATCGCCTGTCGGAGAGGCTTTCGCAGCTCGATTGTACAAATTTGAATGAATTGATAGCGGGTAATGATCTTGGGTGCCTATTGAGTTAAATAAAACCGAGTCCGATTAGGAAGTAGCTGTATAGTTGATTAATGGTTAAAAATAAGGTATGCTTAACAAAGGACCAGCAAATGAAGCTCATTGACTTGCTTACATAAATGAACCTGTTACATCAAAAATTAATTTATTTTGGTTTATTTTATGTTAGTTGTCAAATCATTATTTGCGTTTCAACTAAAAAAATTGGGGAAAAAAAATATAATTAATTATAATTAGTAGATTATATATATAATTATTATTTGAATTGTTATGATATTTTGATCCAATTGCACACGGATCGGTCATGTAGCTCAAATCGAAAAGAAGGGAAATAAAATTACAGCATACCCTTTTCATACCCTTGCACAGTATCTTTATTCTAAATAACTTTAAAGTCATTAGTAAATCGTAAGAGATATTAAATGAATAATTAATAATAAAACTTCGGCAATCGAAGTTGGCTTCTTTTCCTGTTAAACTTAAAATATTATGTCTACTTGGATAATATGTCAGATTATATATGGGTATGTAAAATTTAGATGGATTCATTCTTTAATTGGTGTTATTTATATACACTTCGCATAACAAAATGAATGATCAGTATTGTCTTAGTCGCTCTCCATGCTTAAACAAAAGGTCCACAATCGCATCTAATAGGCTATTTTCCTTACGGCAATCGGGATAAATCGAATTAGAGCACAAGTGACGGCGAATACTACCAGATTGGCTCGGACCTCCTCCTTGGAACGGTCCTCTATTTTAGTCGGCTCAATAGACAGTGTCCGAAACATGTTGGCTGAAACAATACACAGTCTTTTAGTTGTAATCTTTCACTGTTTAACGTACTTACATAGCTATAACAATTTGTAACTGAATGACTTTCTGGATAAATAACTTGTGGCTTACTCGCCTTGAACGATTTGGGAATGTACTGGGTACCAAAATCAAGGTAATGACAAGCTTTAAAAACCTTGAAAGATAAATCAAGGATAGAATGATATTTTTGGTTAAATACTTAGCTAAGAAGTCAAACGTAAATAACTGGTATTTACCAAAACTATTTTATTTTGGTCCTGAACCATGTTTTTAAGGTTTTCATTCAAGATCAATTTCTTATTTGTATTGTAAAGTTTTTTTTAAACGTATCCCGATTTTAATGCGTTCTATTATTTTTTTTCTGCCAATCTTGGATATTATTAAACGGACTGGCCCAAATTGGCCCGATTTGGATATTTTGAAGTTTAACTGTAGTTAAACCTTGAAACTTAATACTTGTAATTTACTTATATTCTTTTATTTTACTTTTAAGATAACTTTAACAAATTATTAAAGTTCTAGATTATTTCTTTTTTAAACTGTTTACTTGAGTATAAAATTTGTTTTTAAATACCCTTGCCTAGGGTATTTAAATTTAGCTGAGAAGTTTTTAACGCAGTTATGGAATCTACAAACTATATAAACCCTAAATATGTTAAATTATATGTTTTTGTATTTATAGCTGTTTTTTCAATATAATGGTTTAATCCCATTTTCCGAAAAATACCATGAGTATTCGAATGATTATATCCATTTTGAATTATGGGCGAATAGTGTAAAACTTATCAATATAAAAATTTCAAAATCGACATGGGCGATGGGCACGATGTGGTAATTGTATTTGTTTTCTAAGAATATGATGGTTTTATATAATTTTGGTTATCATATATTCTTGTCGGTTAGTGACTTTATCATGTTCGGTATGTCATGTGCAAGAGTAATACAAAGTTGACATGTTATAGTTAAAGATTAACCGAATAATATGATTGATTTCTTGGGAACACAATTCAGGAAAACACAAATATTATGAAAGATTAAAAATTAAGAATAGAACATCACCCGGACTATTTTGGCTGTAATGGTAGCTCAGCTAGCATACTTTTGGGAGCTGGCATTACCCCGATCCGAGTGGCTGGACTGGGCCTAAGTCAAATACCGTGTTGTGCGGCCATTAGTCCGGGCAGATTCCGGTGCACATTATTTCTGGCCACGGCACGTGTTTGAACCGCAAACAGATGAATTTCTGCAGTGCCGAGCTCCGCTCCGATGAGGACAACGAATTATGAGCAGGCGGCAGCCACTCAGGGCAGTTTGCGCATTCCAAGTCTCCGTTCAGACACAGGAACAGGAGCAGGAGCAGGAGCAGAAACAGGAGCTGGAGCTGGAGCTGGAGAGGCACTGCAATTCGTCCTCGGGGTCTTTTTTGTGTTAATAATAAATAAACGGACGGGCCTTGCAGCCGGAGTCCGGAGTGGAAGCCCTGCTTGTGTTTTGGACACACCGGAGCGCATTTTAATGGACGAATGCAGCGGCGGAGTGGACCCAAAAACCCATAGCCCGTAGCCCGTAGCCGTGCACACCTTTTCCCGGGTGCATGTGTGACACCGGGCCACATCCCCCCTCCATCCCCTACTGGCTTGAAATACGGCATTTGCTCGTCCATCTTTTGATTTAGCACCGACATAAAAATGATTTATCAGTGACATTAAAATAATGCACACTGTGGCGCATTTTATGTGCGAATGGATTTTCGCGCCTTTTTGTTCTCGTTGTGCGAAGGGTGAGGCTCTGGGGGGGAGAGCCGGTGCAGTGGCATTTACCCCTCCCCCTCCCCCTCCCTTCCAGGGGTAGGGATCCGACCCGGTTCGGTTCTCCGAAACAGCTGTCCGTCCGTCCGCGGTCTGCGTCATACTTTGTGTGCCGCCGTCAGCCGAATGTTTTACGGCCGAGGTGTTTGTGACTGAGTCTCCGCCAGCTGCATCAGTGCCCTATGTACAGGGATCTGGGCTTGGGCTTGGGTTCGGGTTCGGGGCACGAGGTGGCGCCATGCACCTATCCGGACCCAGAATTGCCCCGGGCCGCTGGAGCATCATAAATGTGAACTTTTATACGATTATCGCGCGCTCTTTCTGGTTGCCACTCGATTTGGAGGGCGCTGCGCTATGTGCATGGTCCACTGCGGGAAAATTTACTAAGTATGTCAGGAATATAGCATAAGAATTGATGAGGTGGATCAAATACGTTAATTGATTGAAAGCGAACCCATTTGGATGAATGTAATTTGTTTTTTTTTTACAAATTCAAGGAACTTATTTGACATATTTTGTACTTAATAAAAAACAAATTATACAAAAATTTTAATTGATTTTAGGGTTTAATTTAAATATAAGCTCTGATTCAATTTTAATAAATTAGATCCCTAAAAACATATTCAACGATGTGAAAGTAGTAACTACTATTTAGAAAAAATTCGTTGCTAGAAATCGACATTAATGTTACATGTATTGGGAAAAAATATATCATAATATTACTAATTCAACATTGCATTGTAGGTCTGGAGTAATATAAATTATAATAAACATTTTTGTTGGAACAACATGAATACCCTAACTAGAGTATTTTGAAACTTTTTCTTTTTTAAACTCTCACAAAGTTTTTCCAGTGCACTTTGGCGCTATTTGAAATGTGCCATAATTTGCACCCAGATGTGTGACACAGCATTGCGAGAGCGACGAGCGGGCACAAACTGCACTGGGTGGGTCTTGGAGCTGGTTACTGGTGGCTGGCTATCAACTGGAACGCGGCTAGGATGTACATGTCCCCTGCCACCGAAATGGACGACAGCATATGCCCCGTGCGGGGAATTCTGGAACTCATTAGAGTGGGTTCTGTGTGTGCGAGTTTAATGAGGACACCACGGGAGCGAGGAGCTGGCGCAGGCGCTGCACGGGGTTGCTGGAGATGGGACAGATAGGAGGGACGTGCGCATGGATGTGGACATGGACATGGACATGGGCATGCACATCTGCAGACGTCGCTGATTGCCCGGGTCCAATCTCAGTGGCCGTGCGATTCCCATGCCTTTCCCATTCCGTGGCCAGTTGGCAGCGTCAGCATAATTTCCTGATGCTAAATGCCAAACGCAGGACGAGCAGGACGAACCAGAGCGGGCCAGCCGAGCACTTAAGCCCATCCGCCATCGACTGACCGACTGCCAGTGCACGAGGCTGCAGGATGGGATTGGGTTTGGGGTTTGGGGTTTGGATGGGGCTCGGATCAGAGGCAGAACCAGCCCGAATGGGAATGGACCAGAAGGATGGCAGGATGGCGGGATGGCGGGCTGGCAGGATGGCTGGGCAGAGTGATATCCTGCTGTAGTTGTAGTGGTGGCTCTGTGTCATTGTCTCGCGTGGGGACAGGAGGGGGGGTGGGGCAACTGGGAAGGAGCATCAGGAGCAGGACCAGCATCAGCATCAGGGCAATTTAGAGAAGCACACACACACACACACACTGACACACCTGTTTTTGGGTAATTTATCTCGAAGAATTATTATTTCAAATATTTTGAGGGGCTGGGGTGCACTTAAACAAATACAGCTGTTTAAACTTTTTCTTTCGTATTTCTAAATAATTAAATATAATTTAATAAGAAATACACATATGCATGTGGTGTACATATAAAAACATATCTATAAGAAGTGATTTCTGTGAAACCATCGATTATTTTGTATCTTTATACGTTATTTCATTTTAGCAAATATGGTACTACTTTTATTAATTTTAAATAAATATACATTATATGTTGCAACATTTCAATTATTTATATTTTACTTTGCAGCTTAAATAATATTTTGTCCCTTAATAAGTTATTTCGATTTAGCGAATAAGGTACTACTTTAATTAATGTAAAATAAATATGCATTGAATTTTGCAACATTTAAATTATTTATGTTTTACTTTGCAGTTTAAGTAATATGGTTGCGATTCTTATCTCTGACAAACAGACAATTTTTCAAGTGTAAAACAAGCAGAGAGATGGAAGCCATGGCACACAGAGACAGGGCGACGCACCGAAATAAAAGGATTTTAAAATGGTCATTTGATATGAATTATGCGCGTTGGTGCAATTACAGAATCCTGCCCCTGAGCCCGTCCCCTTCCCCTTCCCCGTCCCCGACCCCCCTCAGCCCCCCTCCCCCGACGGGCTGTGATGCCTTTGTCCGACTGTGATGCGGTTGTCTCGGCGCTTAGAAGAGGCGGATCCGGCTGCTGTTCGGCTTGTTTACGGCCATGCTGGTGGGCCCCGCCCACTTTCGGACCTCTTTGGCCGCCCGCGACTTGGACTTCATCGTTAAATAATTAAATCAGCTGCTAGACTAATATATTTCTCTTAATTGCGAGTAACTCATGGTTAGCGCGTACGCAAAGTGTCCGGGCCATTTGGCCCCCATTTCTGATTTATGCGCCATATAAATAGCCGCGCACCAATAGCTAATATCGCTGATGGGCTGCATATGCAGGGCGTAATGGATTGTCGGCTAAATAAATGGCCAAATGGTGTTGGGAACTCTCGAAATGAGTTGAAAATGAGTGGCTTCAAACAAATCACAAAGAAACAACTGTTAATACTAATGCCGAATTTCACATTTTTAATTAACCAATACCGAATTTAATAGTCGGTACTGGCATTTTGTTTAAGCATCAAGGATTGTCAATCTTATTTAAGACATTATGGTAATCCTAAATAATATTGTTTTGCTATTTTGATATATATTATTATGTGTGAGCCTTCAGAAATACGTACAGGTTTTAAATTCAATTATTTATCTAACAAGTATGTTCAATTTTATTAACATTGGATTTCTAAAAGTGTATTCTTTTCTTAAAAATATATATTTAGACCAGTTCGTTTTTATTAACAAAATGGTAGTCGTTTCGATTCCTATTCAAAGCATATTAACCGATGCTTTAGAAAAAGGTGTATACAACTTCGGTGTATTATTCGAGGTGTGGAGTTCTTAGATAAGAAATGCATATTTTGAAAATATATAAGTTTTTTTTTATCAGTCACTCTGTTAATGTTGATGCTTAAGTTTGCCATAAAAATTTCTTAAGCCAAAGCGTATGGAATGACTATTTTGAATTGGTCCT